GATGTACTTATCCACCCACAACACCTCTCCCTCTACCCTTCCTTCCATCTCTGCGTGGCAAGGGCAGTGGCTGGCACGGGGGCACGGGGCCGGAAGCGGTGCATCAGGCTGACGTTCAGAACTGATGGGCAGCCCTGAGAGCTGGCAGTCTGGCAGGTCGAGTCCTCTCCATCCTTTTGCCCCCCACTAGCCCCTCCACTGGCCCCTGCTGCTCTGCACTGTACCCAGGCACCAGCATCCCAGCGGCAGGTAACCCATTGCTTTGCTCCCCCATAAAAATAGCCCTTCCCATTATTCTTCCACATCCCTGGGGGCCACAAGGTCTCCAGCATCATTACCAGAACTAAGGATCTGACTCTGCCACCACTGCTCAGCTCTCCTCCTCCTCCTCCTTCTCCTCATCTTCTTTCTCCTCCTCCTCATCCTCTTCTCTAATTATAGGTCAAGCACTCCTTTTGTAAATTATAAAACCTTTGTTCTTATCAGGAAATGGAAATGGGTAAAGAAACATACCATTAAAAAAATAGAAGAAGTGTAAAGATTGATAGAAATCAAAGATCAGGAGATAAAATTGTTCAAAAATAAGTAAAAGGTGGCAGAAATTATTCAATTATAAAACCAAGCTAATTTGGTATGACCAGCCACTGTCATGCATGGTGACAGAGCTCCATTATGCAGTCATTTGAGCTCTTTTAAATTAGTTATGTTAATGTCCTGCGTGTGAATGTAACACTTGGATGGGACAAGATTTCAGCAATTAATTTCTACAGTCAGCGGAGAGACAAGCAAATTTATTTTCCCCCTCTCAGGGAATTGGTGGTGGAGGGAGTGAGGAGGGGATAGAGCATTCTGGAGCAGGGAACAAGCTAAACACAAGACCTAAATAAAGCCTGAACAATGGGAGCCAATGCCTCCTCATTCATTCAATTGACAATGTTTTGCAGCTTAAACCTGTTTTATTAATTATGTTTGACATTTCCTTAATTAGTTTCATTTACACCAAATCAATCCCTGCTGCTGTACAGCGTCATTTATCATTTTAAAAAATTTGCATAGCCAGTGCTGACTTTTTCTACTTAATTATACATTAAAAGTGTCAGCCGCGCTTGCTGCCTGGCATTATCTGAGGCAGAAAGGTTTGTGGCTGGACAGGGGTGGCATTAATCATAGGGGCGGGAGCGGGCAATGGGTGCTCCCAGTCGCCAGCGGGGGAGCAGAGTGGGACTTCTCATTTCCTAAGCTTGATGCTTCCGGGGCCACGGTGACCTCAATGACCTACTCCACAAGGTAGACATATCAGCGACCTCCAGCCCCAAAAACAACAACAACAACAACAGCTTGTTTATAAACCCGTGAGAGGAAGAAAGGAAAACGCTGCAAGATTTGCAGCTGAAACACTGTAAGGCCACAGCATGCTGATATTAAAAACAGTATGCTGTATGTTTAGATTTTGGCTCCATGGTGCCACATGAAGACTTAAGTCACACAGTGTTTTAAAAATACATGCCTGTGTTTTTATTAGAAAACAATTGGCAACATAAATTTAATCAATATATTGATTTAAAAATAAAACTCTAATTACCTTTTGTGCTGTGCTATCATTTAATTGTGTCTCTCTTTTGGTCATAATAAAGGAAGAAGGATCAAACAGAAGAACTGTCATCCTGTCATATATTCAAACTTCAGCAACACAACAAAGAACTTCACTAATAGAAACTTAAATATAACAGTTTGACTTTGAGTAGTTTGACAGTTTGTATGGGGGAAAGGTGGATAG